GCTGCTGCTGGTCCTACGGTGGGCAACAGCTGCCATATCTGAAAGTACATAGTCAACTTAAGAACATACTTAAACCCAGTAACCTTAAAGCCAGACTTCTTATTGCTGATTACTATAAGCTAAGCACAGCACTACTTTAGCCTAGTTATTCCAACTTATCTTTAACCTTTCCTGCCTCTCTAATCTGATAAATAACGACATACTGCTTGGCCCACCTGGCTTGATGTTTGTTCATCTGATTCCTAGCCCAAATTTCCAGTGAAGGGAGCTAAATAAGTAAAACTACTGCATGTGAAATATGACCAATGGCGGTTATACTTAGCAAACTCAAGTTGCTTCTGTATATTTATGCATATTAAGTGTAAATAAAATAAATAAACTTTTCTGTTGGAACAAAATAAATTTTCCCCTCCTCAGAGTACTTTCTGCATTGTCTATACTAGATGATAAATGGCTTCAGATTTACATAAATCATTTATACTTGGACACTATGAGCACTGGAGAGTTTGCAGACTAGAGCGTTCAAATTCCAGGAGCTCATCTGGATTCAAGAGCCCTGAGGAAGCTCACATGAGGTGGGCACCAGGCCAGACCCATAAAGTTTTCTTTAGCTACAGTAGCTTAGACCAGAGAGACAAGAGTATCCTGAGGTACAGTGGATTAACTACAAGTCCCCTGTATCCAAGGGCTAATTCCAAAAGGTTTTAGAGGCTGTGATGGTGCTAGGAAAAGGACTCATCCTTACCTGGAAATCAAGATTCCCCAAATATGCAGCTTATCACTTTTCAAGAGGCAGAGACCCCCGTATGAATCTTCACCACACAGATTGAGTTTTTTGACACAGGCATCTTCATGGCTAGAAGGCGAAGATTAGATTCAGAGTGAAAAGAATTTGGTAACTTGTCCTGTGACCTTGGGAAAGCCAGTGCAACATTCCAGGGCTCTGTTTCTGCATCTGTAAATTTGAGACCAATTCTTGCACTGCTTGAATACATCAGAGTTGTTGAGGCTCAGATGAAATATGTGAAGAATGACATTTTAATGAGAACTATATAAATATAAGGTGTTACTCTTATTGCTACTGAAGCATTAGAAGCAGCCTTCCTTCTAATGCCTCAGTAGCAATCTGACCCCAAGCAAGGGTCAGATTATTGTGTCAAAGACACAAAATTCTGACATCAGAGTTTACGATTGTGGCTTATGATAGACTGGCAATAGCAAGCATTTTATTGGCCCTGAGGAAATCAACCAGAAAACTATTTTACCTGAAAGGAAAGTATGTTCATTTTTTGATAGGTTCTATGTGGACCTTTTAGAAATTAGCACGTTGTCTGACTGCCTTTGACTTTAGAACCTATCTTGTCTTTCATAATCGCTAGTGTAAGCATTCACTCTGGTACCATTGATGAACAGAAGGGAAACAGATCTGAAGAACTTCTGCAGGCTTACCTTTCACAGATGCTCTTGAGGCTAAAAAACAAAAACAAAACAAAAAAAACAACCCACTAACAAATTGTCTATTTCTCAGCTAGCAACTCCTTGGGGCTTTTCACTGACTGCAGGCATGTACACCCGGCTTAGCAGATTCCTCTGGTGGAAGTAGTCTACGAGAAGCTTTTCTTTCTGGAGCTTTCAGAGATCAGTTATCAGTACCTAGAATTTAGGCTGCCAATGAGGCAACTGAATTTTTTCATTTGGAATAGGATGGAGCAAGCCAAATGACTACCTGGGGGAAGTCAAAGTGCATTCTTTAGAGATCCAATGAGACAATATTAGGAAAAAGATAAATAATTTAGGATCATAATGAACATATTTTTCCTCATTTTACCCAAGAACCTTGGTACATAGCTTCCAATAAACTTGGTAAACTAGGTTTTATCTTTTTTTGTTTAAAAAAATTTTTTTTGGTGGCTGGTCAGTAGGGGTCTCCAAACCTGTGACCTTGGTATTTGAAGGCCTGTGTTCTAACCAACTGAGATAACCGGCCAGCCAAGTAAACTAGGTTTTAGATTAAGTGGTATTGAGTAATATTTCCACTGGCCTATCTCTCAGTTCCAAGTAGAAGACGCATAATCATGCATGTCACTTTTATCAATTCCCTCTCATTTGGCCACATATAGAATAAAGCACCTCCCCTAGGTTTTGGAAACTAGAAGCAGTTGTGCATTTGTCAAGGTACCAATAGCAAACAGACAACACACTTAAATCAGGATAATCTGAGGAGAGTTTAATTAGAAAGACACAGGTAGTATGTAGGGAAATCACAAAAGGTACTTCAGAAATCCAGGTCTAGCAGCACAGCAACAGCAGACGTGTTACCACACCTAGCCACAAAGGGATGAGAAGAAAGGTCACTGGAACCAGAAAGGGAGATAATTAAGAGTAGGTCGTCTTGACAGGAGTAGGACCACTCAATTGAAGGGCACAAGCCAACCTAAGGTGACCCCATAGAGAGGGAGCCATGAAAATAAATGCCCTAACCCCACTCTTGCCCCTATCCTGCTGGGGCATCCCATTGGTTGAACCCAACGAGAAGCCAGAGGACTCAGGAACCCTCTGGGGCAGAAAGCAGGGTGAAGGATGCAATGTGAATCTGGAAGGGGAAAGAGAAGAGATCCTGCATAATTGGCATGATGTCAACAATTTGTTATCCTGTGATGTCAGGTGTTGGGCATGCCATCTACTCACAGAGAAAAAGAGAATTATGATTACATAAATGTGATTTTAGTTTGTCCATGTGTTGAGGAACAGGATGGTGAGCCAGCTTTCTCCCAAGTTACTGCTGTCAAAAAAAGCCCCATGATCTGTCCAGTTTGGCCTAGAGTTACTAAGATTTGGTAGTCAAAAGTAAAATAGCATACCTCTTCTCCAGAGTATATATTATAGTTACTGCATGTCTTTCTGGTTGAGTTGATTTTGGATTACTATCTACCATGGTGCCCCACAGCTAATAAGCATTCAATGAATGTTTGTTGATGGAGAACTTGGGAGACAGGTCTATCTGTATTTGATTCCTTCCACGTACCAATTTATGAGTATTTTCACCATACAAACCTTCAAAGCACCCTGAATATACTCTAAAAACCAATGCTCTAAAATGGAAATGACATATGATTTAAAAATATTATTCAATTTATTTTGGAGCTGCCTAGGGATGAAGGTGTTTGTATAGTCCAGCCTGAGAACCGAGCTTCTCTGCCAAAGAGGCCAGCTGAAGTCTTGGCCATACAAAAGTGATTACTTTTTGCTTCTCTGTTGAGAGGCACAGGAAGTGCTACCAGAGCCAGCTCCTAATCAGGCTCTTAAAGAAGAGAATCATTGAAAGCAAAGCTGTCCCTTCATTTTGAATGTAAAAATTGGGCAACTGGGCTATCTCTTAAAGTATTTGCTATTGGTTTTTAGGAGGCTGAAAGAATACATGAAGCTTAAAACAAGAAATCCGGAGGCAGGGCTTTAGATAGCCCCACCACTACCATCAATAATGAGTTCAACAAATCATTACACGTGCTGATTCATTTTTACAGGCAATAGTGCCCTCTTGTGATTAACTTTTGAATAAACTTTTGATGGCTTGGCATGACCAGTGATTTTCAATTAATCATGCTGATTGAGGCAAAGAACTTCACTGGCACCACAAGAACTAGAAAGTGCTCTTCAAATTTGCCTGGGTGGTAAAAGACACTGTACAATAACAAGGTGCCCGATAAAACCACACACCAACATGTCATTAGACTGCAGACCAAGCCAAGAAGCTATAAAAGCAATAGGAATGCCCACTTTTCTACACAATATTTATTTACATATGTGTATATGTGTGTGTGTGTGTACACACACACACATATACTCGTATATGTATTCCAAAAGGTAGACATCTCCATGGACAACTCTTCCATATAGCTATGGAACACCAGAATTTGGTCCTTAAGTAACATCTGAATCATGAAAGATTCAACAACTGGTAAAACCACATTTGGTACACATAACTACTTGGTAATTGAACGAAGTAGAACAGCTCATTCATTGCCTGCTCATGTGGCAAAACTATTAACTGTGTATGACTGCAAAACTCATTATAGATAACTACTAGAGCAACTAGATCAGAATAATTTTTGAATAATCAGTGGCAAGGAAGGGTCAACAACATTAAGGTCCTGGAATGGACTGGGTTCGTGTACTTCAAACAACACAGCATGGCTGGGGATTGTTAGGTAACTTAAGAAACACAGACTAGATGCACATGCAACAATTTAAAAGTTAGGAGATTCTTTTCCAGCTAAAGTTTTCAACCAGCTGCAAGTGAGAGAGAAAGCTACAAACAACAAAATATCTGGAATTAGTATTTGCAACTGTAACTTTGAGTGTATACCATGTAGAAAAATCTGGGGAATGTAATATGGTGTTTTCAGTTACAATTATTCATTAGTGTTTTCATGCATGAGACTACAATGAAAAATATACATAAAATTTACAAATGGCTAGCTAAAATAAACAACATTATTAGATAGTTACCATTGTTTAGATCCTACATTTTACCATGATTGACTCTAAGCTTTAGATTTTGCATGAGTTCATATTAGGATCTAAAATTCTCAAAATTATTTTGGTTGTTTCATATTTTAGCTGTAACACAAATTTTATTATAGAGGCTTTTAATGCCTCTTATTTTTAGCAAGTCCTTGACTATTTTAGAGAGCTACATGGGCAAATCTGCTTTAAACATTATTAATGAATTCTTCCTCAGACAGAAACTACTTTTGCTTCCTTTCTCAACCACCAACAATATTGTCAAGAAATTTATCTCAAAAATACCTTCCAATAGGCTGTTTTCTTCATTGGAAGAAGTTTACATTACTATATGCTTTCTATCAGCTATCAGAGTGACTAAAGTCTGCAGAAACTGATTCCCTAGGAAAGCATCACTTGTTGATGTGCAGATGTGTGGTCTATCTGTAAATGAGCAGTTTTTTTACACACAGGCTGAAGAGATACACAACAAACCATCCTTACAACATATACCTTTAATTAAATTGATATTGGTGGGTTAAAAAACATTGTGAGAAGATGACAGCTAGAGAAATAAGGTATCCTATGATTATTTATAATAAAAAGAATAAGAAATATCAACTGGCTTTTTGTAATTGAAGAGAGAAGATTAACCAAGTGTTGTCTTCCCAGTCCTTGTACTAGCAGAGACCACAGGAGAATAATTCTTATATAACATGCACAGGGAAACAAATTGTTGTTTTTTGTATATATTTTTGTTTCTCAAAATTGTTGGGGAGAACTTTTACCAATCAGGGATGAGCAAAAACAAGATGTAAGAAACATCAAAACAGGGGGCATCTGGTCTTAAGAATGTTTTGGAGATTATAGTAAAAGAGAAATTGCCCCATTAGATATTATAAGTTGGTATTTATCATGAATGTTTAAAATTATGATTAAAGTGACTAAAAATGATCTATTTTTTTTTAAAGTCAAGAACTCAGGGGATAAACTCAAAATAGATTTACTCTCAGTAGTAACTTGATGCAAGAGAATAAATTCTCTCACTTTGATAAACATGGATATAAAATCTTGCTCTCGGTATTCTAGGCTTTTCTACATTTGCTGTAAAGAGTGAGTCATGCCAGATCACATCTAAATGACTCCACATTTTGAGCTAAAAGGCTGTTTACACAATATACACATTCTTTACTTACAGAGCAAAATAAGTTTAATACTTTCATATTAAAAACCTGGGATACAGTAGGATTAGTAGCACCATGAAAAATAATTCTTCCTCCAAACTGCAGTCCTTTATTTTACTCAGTGTGATTCTTCTCTTAATTGAATTTTTAATGTGCCATTTTAGTAACTGGGCAAAATATAAAGTCTTCATCTTATAATCCTTAGAGAAAGTCATTCTGGACCCCCAAAATAAATTCATTCCCGTATTTCTTTCACAGAAAAATAACAGAGACCTTGCTCCAGCACATTGCTGAGGTACATCTAAATCTTCATGGTTACTAGTCAGAATGTTCTCTTGGTCATATATAGTAGCACCATTGGTGGTAGCAGTGGTAAAGTTGGGGAAAAGACATTTCATCCTGGAAATTTCATATATTTATCACATTTAAAAACACACGAGGAGTTCTTCAAAATGTTATGTCCTCTTCATGCACACTTGACATCGGCTAATACGTGTCCTCAAATCTCCTGCTTTCAGCGTTTCTGACTGAGGTTTACTGGGAAACAAGAAACAGGACAATTAGAATCACCTTTTCTGGTATTTCAGTGATACACTTGGTTTAAATTCGTACCCATTCTGTTTGTGTTAAGTACCTCTCCTGGTGACTTTGTGGTTTATCTTTGAGCAATGGGATCTAAAGCAGTGACTGGTATAGCCTAAGAGCCATTAGTGGTCATAAGTATTTTTGTGACTGTTCTTCCCCATCACTATTATATTTAGTTGTATCTCCCTCTCTTTCTCTGATACCTTTTTCTCTTTCTTTGATACATTTTTTTCTAATATTCATAGAATGAGGGAGATCTGGGCAACTGATGATGAATACATGATAAGGACTGTAAGAAAAATATCAAGTAATTATAACTCAAATGAAGCAATACATAAAAATAAATTTAAACTGAAAAACCTCAATAAATTGAAGTATACTGATATAAATGTATTACATGTGGTCTTGCTCATTCAAATACTTAGATGAAAGTCTTTAAAACATCCTGGGAAAGGAGAAAACTGGACTGGGGGAGAGAACACAGACTACAACTTGAATTTCTGGTGTGGCCTCAATCTACCTCAACAGCTGCTGACTTGTTATTGAGCAGGTCACATAACCCTTTCTTGTCTCTGTTTTGTTATTGAAGGATTACTACTAAGCCACCTTAAACCACACTTACCTAATATTAGTCATGTCTGCTCTTCTGACGTGAGTCAGGTATATGAGGAGAACAAACAAGAGTAAAGGACAAAGTCCAATAAATTTCTAACATTTGTTGGGGATAAGCCATCTATGAATTGTCTCTTTCTTTCTAGTATCTCTGAAGAAAGCTTTGGACCTGAACTAAAGCTATAAGCACCTTACCTGAACATGTCTGACACATCTACAGTTGCCAGCCAAAAGCTGTAGGAGTTGGCATAGTAGTTACAGGTACCCCGCCCATGACATTCAATGAAGGGAGCTGAACGAAATTCTTCCAAGCAGGAACCAGGCGAGGCCAGTGCTTGACCTGAGCCTTCTGCCCCTGCACTTGTATGCTAGAAAAGACAAGGAAAATTGTGCCACAGTATTCATGTATCATAATACCTTAGTGAATATCCAAAGATGTGTGCTAAACCCAGCCAAATATTTAAATCCAGTGATGTGACGAGAGCCAGAGGTAAGAAAATAGTATCCACACCAAGGGTAGCCAACAAAAACAATAGACAGATTATGAGAATATGTTCCAGAAAATGTGTGAGGAGGAACACAGTGCTTGGACAAAAGATATTTGAGGTTCAAACTTCTTACTGCACAAATGATAGGGATTCCTCTAATGTGAAGAAATGTAGATACAATGGATAGTCAGCTATGATGACAAAGGCAAGGAAGAGTGTTTCATACCATCATGAAGGAATAACCAATCCACAGAGAATCCCATCCCTGAGGACAACGGGGAATCTGGATGGTCTGACTGTGAACTGCAATCACCACAGCTGGGGCTTCACAAACTGCACATCTGGTAAGGGAAACAGAGAGGGAACATAATCTACAGAGTGAGTAGGTGGGAAATAGCAGTCCCTCTTCTTTGGAAGCTATTCTGGTATGGAGGTCCATTAAGGTGTCTTCAATGCTCAGAAAAGGAGAAAAATGCACTTTGAGACTTGCTTTTGCATAAGCACTGTCTCCCAATATACATAATAAAGTTATAAACTAAAACTGTAAACATTTTTCAAGAAACTGCAGAACCACTGCTATAGCATTTTCAGTTTCCATTCTACCTTAAATCTGTATTCATACTTTCTATAGTCAATGCCATAATTGGTGTAAGAATTTGGCTTAGTGTATTGCATATACTATGTGCTGTCAAAGTGCCCAACTGGAGGGTAGACATTTAGTAATGCTGAAACTGTGGTATGAACACTGTCTGGTAAACTGGAAGAGACAAGAAACAGACACTTTCTCAATATCCACTCATTACTCTTGGTCCAAAGAACATTTGTTCATCATTTGGCCATATTTGGAGAAGTACAACATATCCAAAATGCTGGGCAGGTACCCAGGCATCTGAAAATGTGGCTGAAATTTATAAAATCAAATAAAAGAGCAACAGAGTGAATGCAACTGAATCTACTAGTTGAACACCACTCTTGAATAAAGAGTGCCAAAACCCAAAGACAAAGAGAGAATTCCAAAAGCAGCAAGAAAAAAGTGTCAAGTCACCTATAAGGGAGCTCCCAACAGACTAACAACAGACTTCCCAACTGAAACCTTACAGGCTAGAAGAAAATGGGATGATATACTCAAATTACTAAAAGAAGAAAATTGCCAGCCAAGAATTCTATACCCAGCACAATTATCCTTCAGAAATGAGGGAGAAATAGTGTATTTCCCCGACAAACAAAAATCATGGGAGTTTGCTACCACACAATGAGCCCTGCAAGAAATTCTCAAAGGAATCCTGCATCCAGAAACTGAAAAATGATAATCAATACCATGGATTTACAAGAAAGAGCAAAACCCTCCATTAAAACTGAAACGCAAACGAGAAAGAGAAAGAAGTTAAATCATGTCACCTGAAAACTCCAACTCACATTGAAGATGAAAAATAAAAGGGGAAGAAAGGAACAAACGATATTTAAAACATCTTAAAAGTAATATAATGACAGGAGTAAAGCAATAGTTATCAATAACAATTCTAAATGTAAATGGATTAAACTCCCTATTCAAAAGACACAGATTGACTGATTGGATTAAGAAGCTAGACCCAACTATATGTTGTCTTCAAGAGACCCATCTCACCTATAAAGACACACATGGACTAAAAGGGAAGGGATAAAAAAAGACATACCATGTGAATGGAAACCAAAAACGAGCAGGGGTAGCTATTCTTATATTGGATAAAATACACTTCAAACCAAAAACCATAAAAAAGACAAAGAAGGACATTATATAATGATAAAGGGATCTATTGAGTTAGAAGATATAACAACCCTAAATATGTATGCACCCAACACTGGAGCACCCAGATATGAAAAGCAAACACCCTTAGACCTAGAAAAAGAGACATACCCTATTACAATAATGGTGGGTGACCTGAACACCCCTCTCTCAGCACTGGATAGATCATCTAGGCAACAAATGAACAGAGAAACACAAGATTTAAATTACACCTTAGACCAATCGGATATGGCAGACATCTACAGAACATTTCATCCAACAACTACAGAATACACATTCTTCTCATCAGTATATGGAACATTCTCCAGTACAGACCACATGTTAGGTCACAAATCAAGTCTCAGCAAATTTAAAAAATTGAAATAATTTCAAGTACCTTTTCACACCACAATGGATTAAAACTGGAAATCAATAACAAGCAAAATTCTGTAAACTACTCAAGTGTGTGGAAACTAAACAACAGACTCCGGAATGACCTATGGGTCCAAGAAGAAATCAAACATGAAATCAAAAAATTCTTGAAATTAACAAAAATAAAGATACATCATACCAACACCTGTGGAATGCTGCAAAAGCAGTACTAAGAGGGAAGTTTATCGCAATAAATGCTTACATCAAAAGAAAAAAAACCTTTCAATACTGAGAACATTTTCACAGCAAGCTGATAAAGCCAGAAATATGTGGGAAACAAAAAACTGATCTTGGATGGAATTTGCATGGCATATAGAATTTTTGAGAATACTAAAATGAATTCTGCAGGAATGGACATCATGAGTATAAAAATATAGAATAATAATAAAAATAATAAGAACCAGAAGGGAAAAAAAATGGAAAGACTTCAAATAAACAATCTAACATTACACCTCAGAGAACTAGAAAAACAACAACAATCCAATCCTAACAGTAGATAGAAAGAAATAAATAAGATAAGGGTAGAACTAAATGAAATAGAGGCCCAAAAAATGATACAAAAGATCAATGAAAAAAAAAACGAAATAGAGGCCCAAAAAATGATACAAAAGATCAATGAAAAAAAAAACTTGATTTTTTGAGAAGATAAATAAAATAGACAAACCATTAGCTAGGTTAACAACAACAACAACAACAAAAAATGAAGAGAGAAGACCCAATAACAAACATCAGAAATGAAATGGGAGACATTACAACCAATACCTCAGAAATACAAAGTATCACTAGAGATTATTATAAACAACTGTACACGAACAAATATGAAAACCTTGTTGAATTGAATAAATTTCTGGATACCTAAAAGCTACAAAGACTGAACCAAGAAGAAATAAAGAACCTGAAAAGACCAATAACAATGAGATTGAAGCAGTAATCAGCAATCTTCCAACAAAGAAAAGCCCAGGACTGGATGGCTTCACAGCTGAATTCTATCACACCTTTAAAGAAGAATTACTACTTCTCCTCAAACTATTCCAAAAAATTGAAACAGAAGCTACTCTCCCAAACTCAGTCTATGAAGCCAACATAACTCTGATACCAAAACCAGATAAAGACACAACAAAAAAAGAAAATTACAGGCCAATATCCTTGATGAACATAGATGCAAAAATCTTCAACAAAATATTACCAACCAGAATCCAGCAACACATCAAAAAAATTAACCATGATCAAGTGGGATTCATCCCAGGTATGCAAGGTTGATTCAACATATGCAAGTCAATAAATATGATACACCACATAAACAAAGCCAAGGACAAAAGGGATATGATTATCTCAATAGATGCAGAAAAAGCATTTGACAAAATTCCACATCACTTCATGATAAAGACTGTTAGCAAATTAGGTAGAGAAGGAAATTATCTCAACACAATAAAAGCCATTTATGACAAACCAATCACCAATAGTATCCTGAATGGGATATCCTGAACAGGAACAAGACATGTATGCCCATTCTCTCCACTCCTATTTAACATAGTATTGGAAGTACTAGCCAGAGCAATCAGATAAGAGGAAGAAATAAAGGGCATCCAGATTAGAAAGTCCTATAGACTCTATCAAAAAACTCTTAGAGCTGATTAACAGTTTCGGTAATGGTGTAGGATACAAAATCAACACCCAATAATCAGTAGCATTTTTATACCCCAGAAACAAAGTAGCAGAAAATGAAATCAAGAAAGCAAGCCCATTTACAATAGTCACTAAAACAACAACAACAACAACAAAAAACCTAGGTATCAATTTAACCAAGGAGGTAAAAGATCTCTATAATGAGAACTACAAAACACTACTGAAAAAAATTAAAGAGGACAAAAAATGGTGGAGAGACATACCATGCTCTTGGATGGGAAGAGCTAACATTGGAAAAATGTCCATTCTACCCACAGCAATCTACAGATTCAATGCAATCATCACCAAAATTCTAATGACATTCTTCACAGAAATAAAAAAGCAATCCTAACATTCATATGAAATAACAAAAGACCCTGAAGAGCCAAAGCAATCCTGCACACACAAAAAATTAAGCTGGAAGCATAACACTACCCAACTTGAAATTATATTACAAAGGTATTGTAACCTATACAGCATGGTACTTGCATAAAAACAGAGACTTGGATCAATGGGACAGAGTAGAAAACCTGGGAATCAACCCACAAAATTATAGCCAACTGATCTTTGACAAACAACAAGAACATACATTGGGGAAAAGACTGCCTCTTCAACAAATGGTGCTGGGAAAATTGGACATCCACATGCAGAAGAATGAAACTGGACCTGCACCTCTCACTATATACCAAAATCAACTCAAAATGGATTAAATACTTAAATATAAGACCTGAAAACATAAAATTTACTAAAGGAAAACACAAGAGAAACACTCCAGGAAGTAGGGCTGAGCAAAGACTTAATGAATAAGACCCCAAAAGCATGAGCAACAAAAGAAAAACAAATGGGACTATATCAAACTAAAAGGCTTCTGCACAGCAAAGGAAACAACAGAGTGGAAATACAACCTACAGAACAGGAGAAAATATTTGCAAACTATACATCTGACAAGGGATTAATATCCAGAATATACAAACAACTCAAACAACTATGCAGTAAAAAAGCAAACAATCCAATTAAAAAATAGGCAAAGGAGCTGAATAGACATTTTTTCAGAGAAAGACATACAAATGGCCAACAGGTACATGAAAAAATGCTCAGCATCACTAGTCATCAGAGAAATGCAAATCAAAGCCACACTGAGATATCATCTCACCCCACTTAGACTGGCCATTATTAAAAAGACCAAGAGTAACATGTTGGCAAGGATGTGGGGAAAGAGGATCTCTTCTCACTGTTGGTAGGACTGTAAATTAGCATAGCTACTATGGAAAACAGTATGGAGGTTCCTCAAACAACTACAGATAGATCTACCATATGATCCAGCAACCCTACTACTGGATATATATCCAAAGGAATGGAAATCACCATGTCGAAGTGACACCTGCACTCCCATGTTCATCGTAGCTCTATTTATGATAGTTAAAATATGGAACCAACCTAAGTGCCCATCGACAGATGACTGGATAAGGAAATTGTGCTATATATACACAATGGAATACTACTCAGCCATAGAAAAGAATGAAATTCTGCCATTTGCAGCAACATGGATGAGTCTGGAGAAAATTACGTTAAGTGAAATAAGCCAGACAAGGAAAAGAAAGAAAGAAAAGAAAGAAAAGGGAGGGAGGGAGGGAGGGAAGGAAGGAAGGAAGGAAGGAAGGAAGGAAGAAAGGAAGGAAGGAAGGAAAGAAGGAAGGAAAGAAGGAAAGAGAGAGAGAGAAAGAGACTAAAACAATAACAAGACACTGAACTTTCAGAAGGAGAGAACATACTTAAGGGTACTAGAGGTGCGGGGGAGGGAGTGAGAGGGTTTGGGGAGTGATAGGTTGGGTAAAGGGCATAAAGAAAAAAATCATGATTTATAGTAATAATATGCTAATAACAAATAATAAAAATTAGAAAAAAGCAGATCCCTGATAAATATGGATCAAACCAAATAATGAATTGAATATTAACAGGCACCTCTGTTCTACTTATCTGGGAGGAATATCATCAGATTATTATCTCTGGACTCATTTCTGACTAGATAATCTAACTGGGGATTGGTGAAAGTCAAAGCTAAACCAATGCCTCACCGGCTAATGAATGGCTGGATGCTTTGGCCCTTCAGGGGTTCCATGTTCATTGGCATGGGCTCTGGGGTGGAGAGCCAGTAAGAATAGTCATTTCTTGAAGCAAAGTTGCAAACATTATTGATGTTGCAGAACATGAAAGGCATGGTACTGAAGCGACGAAGGCAGCTGCCAGCCGTCCCTAGGAAGAATTGTAGAGAAAAAGATGAAGGACCGCATCATAATGATACTTTTAGTTTCTTCTAAAACAATAACAAACAGCCTTTCAAAGAGAAATTTGCCCACATTTCTTAGATAATAAATACACTTTATTTTTAAAATTCTAACATTTACTTTTATCTTAACATTTCTAAAATCAGGATGTATTTTACAATTTATGGGGATATTTATTATGGTAGCTTATTATATATTTCCCAAGGCTGTTTTTTAACTGATGAAGTATTTTATATACAATAGTGTATTAAGGAGAATATTTAGTAATTTACTGTGTACAAGTGAAGGATACACACTGAGTCATTACAATATCATATCAATATTTCCTGCTCTGGGTTTCCCTCTTTAAGCCTAGGGACAATAGTAGTGCTGACTAATATGTACAGCAAGCACAGACAGGTTTGAAGGTGAATAAGTAAAAAGGAAAATAAAAAAAAATAAGAAAAGAAGAAAAGATGTGAGGGGGGCAAAGAAAAGGAAATAGTCTTTGAATTTCAGAGCTAGTAGAGACAATAGAAAATAAATCTACTAGTGATCAAGACTTTCTTTTCTCATGTGAGAGTGAATAACAACATGGCATAACTGAAAAAGGGATGGATTTTGAATGGGCAAGTGTTAGATTCAAGTCTTATCTCCATCACTTCCTACCTACGTGGCTTTTAATAAGTCACTTCACCTCTTAGCTAGTTCTTTGTGTATAAAATGAATAAAACCAGTATTGTCCTATATCTTTCCAGATCATAGTTGTGAAAATCAAATTAGACAATGGATATGAAAGTGCACTGTATATTATAAAGTAATTTAAAAAGAAAATTAACCTACTGACTAATTCAGGACAGAGCTGGAAATACCCCTGGTCTTACAAAGAAGAGAAAAGGAAGAGATACATAAATGGAAGGCCCATAATGATGGGATCAGGACTGTTTGGTTGTAACTGTGCTGAGGCTGCCTACAATGATACAAAATCCTGGGTTATAGTCTCCAATTTTTCAAAGAGAGTGGTCCCATGCACTCCCAATGTCTCCCATACCCTAAAATCATAAAGCTTTACTAGACTAATGATTCTCAGTATGTTTTTTTTTTCTCTCAGACAGAAAAATTTTAGTACTCAATCCATCTCCTCCACTCTCTTTTTTATATACCATAATACTTTCATTAATCCAACACAGACTGTATTTATTCAATCAGGTGATTGTTTCTTTAATATCAAATGTATAGCTGTCTCTATTTTTTCGTTAGTCATCAAGATATCTCCAATTTTATCCTTGCATGAGCCTTAGCAGAGCCCCTGCAACCCAGAACCACTCTTGGGATCCTGGGCCCTATAGTGGCTTTACTGTGTCTAAGGCCTAAACCGAACCAGAATCAAGGCCAGTTCATAGCCTCCAAGTCTGAATGCATGCTCTTGACAGCTCTTTTTTGACCAAATGCATGCATTCTGAAAGTTATAATGACATACTGAATAGCAGATCCCATTTTCTCTTGCATTATATTTTTGAATTTCGTAGTGCTCAAAAACTTCTAATAGTTCTTATTGACCTGATAAATTAGGTGAGTAGAGAGTATAAGTTAGATTCTAACAGTGAAAAGAGAATGGACAAAGGAGAAGAATTTTATGGGAGAAAGACTAGAAAAGTTATCTAAAGATATTGAATTTAATTAGTTAAATATTTAATTAAAATGATCTAAAGGTAATTTAATTATTAATTGAATGAAGATTTTTCAATTGCAAAATTAGAACAAGAAACTGTAACATAAAGAAAGCGAAAGAGGGAAAGAAAGGTAGCAGAGCAAAGCTGAAAAGGAGAAAAAGAACATACAAGGAAGAAAAGAGAAGTAGAAGAGGGAGAACGATGTTGGGAAAACCTCTACTCTATTTGGCTTTATAAAATGAACTATGGCCATTGCCTGCATGTAAGTGGATGTGCCTACTCTGGTGGGACAGAACTGGCTGGCATGTATGGCCATATGCCCTGGGAACACAGAGAGCAGAGCAGACATCTGGGGTTTCTGCTGCTACAGAACTGTTTTCATAGAATGAATGGCCCAGTCAATGAGGCTCAGGAGGCCCAGAGATCCCAGAAACTGGGAACAAAGACCATCTTCTGAAATGTCTTTATGGAGGCAAACGGGATAGTTAATTCTAAAATAGGCACCACCAGGTCAGAAATGGGACTTCAACATCCAAAGTTAAAATTCCAGGAAAAGACTTGGGAATGGAAGAGTCCTTGAGAGTCATCCAGTCCAGCCTCATCCCATTAACCAAATTGTCCACTGCAATATACAGAAGATAAAAGGAAAAACTTTAAATGAACTGAATTTTGTACAGAAATATGATGCTTTGTAGGGCCTTAAGCTACTCTGATAATATTTTATAAAGCTAAGGCACTTATTTTAGGAACTAAAAACAGCATAATTAAGCAATGACCTTACTTTATTTGATCTAGGAACCAAGATTCTGTTCAGAATTTATCTGTTAATTTATTGAAGACCGGTCTTAGAGAAGAGGAAACTATCTCCTATGAATTATAAACACTGCCCACTCAAGTAGCTGCTATACTGTAGAGAACCCAGGGAATCTGTTTTTTTAATAACTACACTAACTAAAAGTAAATATGGCCCTTTTGAAAATGCCTTGCTTTAGGCCAAGAATTTTATCCCACACTAGCTGATTAATGCTTTCAGTTTAAGATTAAATATTATTTATTTAAAAATCACAATGAATATATTCAGTTGCCCTTGACATGGTCTTCAATTTGGAAGCCCCAAAAGAATAAAGAGATCACTCTGGCCAATACTACTTTAGAACCCAACAGAATTTTCAAAACCAATACAAAATACATCATAAGAAATCATATGCCAATTATCTCACCCAAATCTTGACCGTGGGCTCTTTTATTTCCTTGTACATACAGGAGAGAAAAGCCTTCATAGATCTGAACTGTTCCCTGCGGGCATTGTGGTGCATCTGTTGTCTGGCTGTGGCGTGTGATGAGGAATCCATGGGCAATAGAGGAGGCTCCAGGGGGACCTGGGGGACCCTGCAGTCCATCTGGCCCAGGGGGACCATCCAAACCACGGATACCTATTTCCATGAAATCATCAGTGTACAAGATTAAGTAAGCTCTGATCCACTATTACGGCTACTGATAAAACATTATTACCTCATTTGATTAGTTAATGTATTCAATATTTGTAGAGTATCTATAAACGCATTGCTAAATATCATGGGCTCAGAGACAAATAAGATAGGTTTAAATGTATTTTTTTTTTCTTCTGGCATTGGTTGAAGACATAAAACACTAAAACACTGGGAGAATGGAACTTTAGATGGAAGAAGTGATTTTGATGGGAAGTTATGCTTACTTGGGAAGCCTGTATGTTATCTAGTCTTTTGCTGTACTAAAAGAGTCTGAACCTCATGGCCAAATTTCAACCTGCTGTTTTGTTCATCAGTGAGGATGCAAGGGTGCGGTTCCCATTAGTCTGCCAGCTTCAGTGCTGAAAAACATTTTCCTTTGAAACTGTCTGGGGAATTATTCCCAGGCATACCTTTTTGTTCAGGAAATAGGTAGGGCATTCTGAAGAAGCCTTTTCAAAATGTCTGTTTTCAATCTACCACTGGCTCTCCTTCCCCATTTAGCCTCTTGATTTGAGTTCATTTAAAAAATTCTCTTTATACACAGGCCTTTGGCCACTGTGTTATACACACAGTGTATTTTCATTTGGGGAAACCACAGCCATGCTTATGATGAAAATGACACTAACTTGTCCCTTCCCTAAAATACAGAATTAATGAAATGGCAGGGTGTTGGCTCTAGGAAGGTCATATGTATCACCACTCCACCATGTTGCCACTGATACGTTTTGCCAATACAAACTCTTTATGTTTATATTGTTTAGAGTTATAATATTTAGAGTTGCTAACATATATTAACAATCTGTCGAGTTTATGATGTTTCTATTTTAGCAATATTATTTTGGTATATTTAATTGCAAGTTGACTCAAATTCTTCTTGGAAGTAGGTTGAGTACAGATTGGAAATCTAGTAGATATCAGACTGAATATTATCAGGAGCACCTATTAATGAGTGACCTCAAAAGTCTGCATATCAATTTATCATCTCAGCATGAGATGTCACCGTGACTCTCAAAGGTCTACAAAGGTCACTTAAACTTTTCATTTATATTTACTGTATTTTATGGGGGAAATTACACTCTACTGAGATATTTTTAAATGTGGAAGAATTTGCAATAGTTTCACGGTGGTCAAGGGATTTAAATCAACATACTGAAAATTAGCTGAACAGGTAAGTATAGTGAGTACCTGGAAAATCCTCATCTTGAAGAAAAGCTGGGTGTTTCAGTGCTCTAAATACACAAATAAAAGCAACCTTTGTATCATGGTACTTCAAAAAGTTCATGGAAAGATTTGTATTATCTTTTACTTGTATTTTTCTACATATTTTCAAAGTACTCTCATTTGCTTGTCTTATAGTGGCAAATCTTGTATGTGCCTTCCTATTTTTCCTCAGCTCCAGATTCACCAGCCAGCTGTGCTCTCTCAAGGGGAAGATCTCACAGCTCCAAGAGGAGGGCATATGTCCAGAGACATCCCAGACATAAAGACCATCATCTGCAACATTGATTTACTGGTCTCACCTGGCTGGCCTGGAAGACCTGGGTCTCCCTTGCGCCCTCCTGCACCATCAAAGCCAGGGAGTCCATTGCGTCCAGGATCTCCTGGAGGGCCAATTGGACCTATAAGAAAGGAAATGGGGATTTCAAATGTGAGTAGAATAACTCTAAATCCAAACAGATCTGGGAGATTTAAGGTTCTTGAGACAATTAATTCATAATCTGGTTTTATCTTAAATCCAGATAAATGAGGGAATTGCTCAAACCCAGAAAAAAAGAAGCAAAGATTTAGCTTCAGTTTTAAAGCTGAAGCTCCTGAGAAGATTCCCTTGATATGGCAGTTGTGTTCTCTTTGCCTTCAGAACCAGACAGAAGTGCAGGTCCCAACTTCTGTGATCCATCTGACCATAGTTAAAGCTGTTACTGCCAGGTACACTTTATTTATGGAAAGACTGCCACTGTATCACTTAATAAGGGAGAAAGGCTGAAGTTACTTCTAGCTTTCTTTTATAATTAAAGTTGGCTATAAGCATATAGTCATATGGCCAACTAGACTGCAGTTAGTTTAAAAGTCAAGGGGCCTCACAGTGGGAAACTGATGGCCCACCAAATCAGCCTTCAATCTTTCTTCTGGGTGAGGTAGAGAAAGCACTAGATATTAAGTGCATTTTCAATTCATTACAGAGTTCTTAACCTTAACCTATTTGTTCAAATTAGAATAGTCAGAGGAGCTAGAATAAATCTAACTAGGCCTAAAGGAAATTCAGGCTTGAGAAATAAACATTAAAAAAAAAAAGGAAATGGGACCTGTGGTGGTCTGGCGTTCCACTAGTTAATGAGACCTTTATTGTCAGAGACAAACTCTGACATGTAAATGGAGAACTAGGGAAATGTTTTCAAATAGATAAGCCTTAAACAGATGATTTGCAAAGGTACCTGGTAAACCTTGAGGTCCTGGTAGTCCTGGTGGACCCTTTAACCCAGGCTGGCCGGGAATCCCTGGAGGACCAGCATCTCCTTTGATTATAATACTCTGTCCTGAAGGACCAGGTAACCCAGGAGGACCTAAGAGACAAAACAACAGATTTGAAGGTGAGGAAGAGAAAGGTCAGAAGAAATGGATGCCAAAGTGACCTAAGGTCAGAATAAGAATTGGTTTGAGAGAAACAAGTTATATATGTTGGACTGCAGCCATATCCAACAGAAACCTGTTTGGAAAAACTATCATTACCTCATCCAACAGACTGAAACACAAATCATTTTCTTAGGGTCAATGGTAAAATTAGGCATATCATCCCTATTTTCAAGCCTTGAGCATTACTCAGTTGCTAGAAAGTCTAATACATTACAAATCTGTGAACACTTGTGTCAGGGGAAGACAATCCTATTCTTTGATAAGTCCATTCTGATTCTAACATCATTTGCAGTCCTTGTTTGTTGTGCTTGTCAAGGAACCCACTGAACTAGTAGCAGAATTTAGCAGATGCCTTATTTCACAGTTTACAAGAAACCTCTGTAAGCCTCTTACCAAAAAAAACCCTATTTTAATATAAAAAATATACAACATATATGTGACTCACTCTTATGATCTGTTTAATTAAATATGGGAAAGTTAATATAAAAGTCAATAAAAATCTCAGTGAGGCATTCTTGTTGATCCTGTATCTATCTTAAGTTTAAAAAGTTTGCTATCAATATTAATTCACAAAATAGAGTTTCAGAGCTGAGTAAATAGTGGGAGAGTCTGGTCTATTTCCTCTCAGTTATGGGGAACTTAGACTCTGAGAATCTGGTTGAAAGACAGAATGCAAACTTACAAATTCTTTAATGTTTCTAAGTGTCAGGTATAACTAGCTTCAGGAATAAGTCTTACCTGGGGGGCCAATAAGTCCTGGTTCCCCCTCAGGGCCAGTTGAACCAGGTACTCCACTGGGTCCTTTCATGCCTGCAAAAAAGATATGTATAATTGCATGGCAAAGTAATAGGGCCACAGCCTTTACCCAGCCAAATCAGAAAATGGTTATTTTGTTCCAAAGCAGTTTAATATAAAGGGAAACATGCTTTCAAATACCTGGAAATCCTGGAACACCAGGGAGACCAGGATCCCCTTTCATTCCATTGAGACCTGGTCGGCCAGGATTCCCCTAAATAAACAAAATCATTAACATTAGACAAAAATTGGGTAGAGGGCAGAGAGTGAAGGCATAGGTATTGTGTAGTGGTTTACAGCACTGTCTCTAGAATCAAACTTCCAGGATTCAAATCCCAATTTCATTTCATATTAGCTTGTGTGACTTGAGTTGATTATTTAACCTCTTTGATACGTAGTTTTCTCACTTCTAACATGGAAAAAATAATATTGTCTACTTCATGGGGCTATGGTGAAGATTAAATGAGATCATTCATATCAAGTGCTTAGAAAACTGATTGGCATGTGGTGTGTACTTAATGAATGATAGCTATTATTTTGTTATTAACACAAACACTTCTTTTTTAGTCTAGACAAGAGGTGATAAATGCTCAAATTAGAATCACATATGCAAAAATGATAAAGTCTGAAAGACTCAGCAAAAATGTAGTAGGTCCTGGTAATTAATTGGGTTTGAGGGCCATGAAAAGTATGGGAAGAAGATTTGAAAGTAGCTTTAGAATGGATATAAAGGAAAAATATAGAGTACCAAGATCATTTAGGAAGCTACTGTACTAGTCCATGTGTGAGGCAACGAAGCATGTAGGAATGAAAGGGGGCAAGCCTGGAATGTCGTACTATGCCAAAATAAAAGAAAGTGCTTAATAAATGGGTGGACATATCAGAAAGACATAGGATTTAGCTTGAAGTGGCTTCCAAATCTGGGACACTGTAAGCATCAGAATAAATAATAATACTTTAAAAATTGTAAATCATTGAGAAAAAAAGGGACATCATGAGTCCGTACTGGTAGTAAACACATACATAAACAGGAGAGAAGACAATGCTCTTGCTTACAGTAGGGCCAACTGGTATATGTGGAAGTAGTGCTAAAGGTGGAAAATCATCATTTTGTTACTATCCCAGTAGAGACTGGTTGAGACAAAAAATCATTAGTAGATGTTAAATCAAAGTGGAAATTTTGATGAGGAGGAGTATATTTGCCTGATCTTTATGTGCCCTCCTGCAGTTTTGCTTATTAGTTGTAAAAAGAAAATAGCAACCATACAATGGAGAAACCGGACAACCTGATGTGGTGATCAAAATTAAAATCACAAATGAGGGCCAGTTGGATATCATGGACCTCCTCATCTAATTACGAAGAAACATCAGGCAAAAGAAGGAACATCCTATTTTAAAAAATGGGGGGCCTACAATTTTTTTAAAATGTCAAGGTCATGAAAGAAAAAATAATGGGCTTAGGAATGGTTCCAGATTAAAGAAGTCTAAAGGGATATGACAATTAAATGCAATATATGATTTGGTCTGAATCCCGTACCAGAGAAAGAAATGCTAAAATGGACATTACTAGGTCAATTGACACAATTGGAATATGAAAGGTAGAAATTAAAGTACTATATCTATGTTCAATTTTTTGAAGTTGATAACTATACTGTGGTTATACAAGAGAATATCCTTAATCTTAAAATATATGCACTGAAGTTTTTAGTGGTAAAGGGGCATGACAGATGCAACTTATTCTCAAATCCTTCAGGAAGTATATACACACACATACATACAGAGAGCAAATGGGGCAAAACGAATCAAGCAGTAGTCTTGAATGCAGGCATAGTGACATGTGAACTAAAGGTACATGAAAGAGTGAGGGAGGGAGTGAGTAGAGAGTGAATAAAGAGATGACTACATTTTTAAGTCTAGGTAACTAGAAGAATAATGATGTCATGGGTAGGAAAGGTTAGATATTGGAAAGCATTAAGAACCACTACTTTAGATAATTTTTTGCCATAAAGCAGCCTTCAGAGTTAAAAGATAGCCCAGACCATGTTGGTGCCAAATCTACCAACAATCATCTTGAATGAACGGAGGCAGCTTTGAGGATCCATAAAGAAATACGTGATTCTCTGGGTCACCCAAACTAAGGTAGAAAGCACATGAGTAGATATGCTCTTATTCTCTTTTTATAGGTGAACACAGAAATCCAGAGTGTCTGTTTCCTCATAGACACAAAACAGAAGTGTTCAATAGAGCTGAAGTCTGACCCTAGATCTAACTAATTTCCAGTTCTAAAGTATTCCCACTAATCACAGTTACTTCCCTATGTGTGGACTCATCTACATGCAATGCTCTAATATATATGCCTCCCTTGCATAAATATGATTTCACTGAAATGAAAGCTTCTCAAATCTAGATACTATATATACCAAAGACTCCAGGTCAAGTATCCTTTGAGGAACCCTTTGACTATAATACAGCAAAATCTCTTTAGTTGGAAGACTATAGAAAACTTGCTTCTATTTTCTTTTTAATTCACCAGTGAGCCATGCATAGAGCTTTGTCCAGTGAGTGCTAATTAAAACGAACCAGCTTAGAATTCTCATTTTGAATGCAAACATCCACACTCATCTCTCATCAACTCCTCCCATTTCTACTCCCATTTCCTACCGGGAGTCCTGGTGGTCCTTGATCTCCTTTCAAACCAGGCAAGCCAGGTTGCCCAGGTTGGCCTGGGTTTCCCCTCTCTCCTTTAATACCTCCATTTCCAGGGAGACCCCGGGGACCTTCTGGACCTGGTAGACCTTGATAATGCACAACAAATGACCACATTTCAGTATGGCATAAGAGTAGCATAAGTCAGCATTTTCAAATAATCAATCATCTTCCTATTAGTTTGCAGAATAAAATACAGACTACATTAAAATATACAGACCTATGCTGACTCCCTTTCTAATGTAAATTGGACTAGGATCTTTTTGTTATTAACACTGGTTTGCAAACACTTTTAGTTTACATTTTATTATATATTAAACCCGATAAGCTCATATCTAAGGAAAGGACTCAGCACATAATAATTTTTGCTTCTGTAATCCCCAACAAAGTGTTTGACGTAGTGAAATGAAACAGACACTGTAGGGCACTGTTCTCAAACTGGAGCGTGCATCAGAATCACCTGGAAGGCTTGTTAAAACAGATTCCTGGGCTCACTCCCAGAGTTTTGGGCTCAGTGAGGCTGGAAAGGGGCCCAATAATTTGAATCCAAACAAGTGCCCTGAAGAAGCTGAAGCTGCTAATTCCAGGACCACACTTTAATCAGGAATTCAAGCCATTTGTCTCACTGTGATTAAAATCAAATTGCTTTATTTTTAAGTAGTTACATTTACTCAACTTTTATTACCATGCAATTAAGATAGTTATTTAAGCAAACTGTTTAATTTCATTTTAGTGATATGCTTGATACATGAGAATATTTTTAAATGTCAGAAATTTATTGATTCAAATAGTACTTTAAAATTTATTTCTTGAATGTTTTCATATTCCTTACATTTTAAATATTTTTTGAAGAAAAATAAAGAATTCTGCATTTATCCTGTGAACAAATAAAACAATTTAAAATGGGATTTTCCTAAGCTCTTTTTCTCATGCTATTTTAAAAAAATTTTATCAATATACAATGTAGTTGATTTTTGTGTACCTTTACTGAATCCTCCCTCCCCCCTCCCTCTGCCTGCTCCCGGCCATCAACATCATATCTGTTCGCTTGTCTTAACAAGTTCAAGGAACTGTGATTGCTATGTCTTCTTCCCCGCCCCCCCCCTTTGTTTGCATATTTATTTACTTATTTTTAGCTCCTACAAATAAGTGAGAACATGTGGTATTTTTCTTTCTGTGCCTGACTTATGCTATGTTTTTAACCTGCCTTTCTAAATAAGATATCAGGTCCCTTAAGCAACCAGGGAGACCTTATCAATGGCCAAGTCTTTTGTCTCTAGCTGGGAAATAGGTGCTACTTGCTTGTAGAGTGTTTAGTGGCTGAGGCTGAGACTAAGTAGTCCTTCCTTAAAAAAATAATTACAAAGCCCTGAATAATGAACAGTCCATAGTCAGCACTTACACCTTCTCTCCTCTGGTAATCTCAGTTTCTTATTGATTTCAACGAAAAAGCCAAGATACGTAGGGATTATTTTTTAAGGAACTATCAGAGGCATATGAATTTATAATACTGAGTTCATGCTTACACATGAACTAAGGGTCATCTTTTTGATCTGAGATAACATTCGGACTTTAGCTCTCTTCCCAACATTCTAAAGACTCAGAATTGACGTCTACACACTAACAAGGCAGAATGGCATATTAATTAAGAACACTGGACTGTAGAGCTAGAATGCTAGGTTGGAATCCCAGCTCCATTAGTCATTAGCTGTTTGACTTTAGCAAGATTATTAATCTCTTTGACTTCAATTTTTTTTTTAATAAAATGGAAATAAGAATAACATCTACTTTATCAGGTTGTTTCAAGAATTAATTGAGATAGCATGTATAAATTACTTAGCACAGTGTCTGGGACATAAAGAACTATGGAAGGGTTGTTTTTATTATTATAACTATTTTCTTTATTAGAAGGCAAGAACGTGTTTTAAAATATAAGCTTGTTTTTCATCTTTCAGGTATTTCTATGTGATTTCATAATATAACACTACTCTACCTGGCACATGAAAAAGAGGAAACAGGTTCACAACAGTACAACAATTGTTTTACCTTTCAACAATTTAATTCATACTGTCAACCTAGCCTGGCAACCAGACAACACAGAAATTCCCTTCCCAATCACAAAGAAAGTGTCAAGGTACTTTGTACATAAGAAAACCCCAAACAACTGCTGAGGTTCAAATCTACTAGTTAGGGTTTTTAAAGCAAACTTAGTTTAATTCATAAGGTATGATTTGGTCTAGAAATCAGGTAGCAAATCAGCTTACTAAGAAAAAAATAAACTATTTGTGAATCAATCTGATAACAATAACAAAGTAAGATCAAGATAGGGAAAAAAAGGAAACTTTTATGATCATCTTCCTCATAGATGGAAAGTCAACAGAACATTGTATCATTTGAAAAAACAAAAAACAAAAACCCAGGGCTCTGCTCTTTTTGCAATTAAAAGGAAATCTTGAGAAATTTACATTTTAATTCAAACCTGCTGTTTAGAGTCCCTCAAACTTAAATTAATGGGTTACTAATGACTTAAGGGACATATAAATTTTATTTTTTAACAGTATTCAATAGTTTCCCTCTTCCATTGCTGAAAATAGCCATGAATACACATATGGGGCAATCTGAGGCAACGAAATTGCAAAAAATAAAATCAATATGCAGAGATTACAAATGGGCCCGATGCCTGCCTAACTATCTTAATGCAGTCTTGAAGGTAAAATTAAGTGTATTTCCATTTAAATTTCAACATGTCTTTATGTATGGATTACCTAATGTCATTTCAAACTCAATTATAAACAACTCACATTACCTTCATCAAAATGTTAAAACCTGAGCAGGTAGTATTTGAGAATAACAGCACCCTTCAACGACTTCTGAATTATAGCAAGAAAGTGCATTTCTCTTATCACATATACAAAGCATTTAAAAAAAAAAAAAAAAAAAGAATTGACCAGTGAAGAGTCTAACCTTGTAAACCTGGGAAGATCAGAGTTCACCAAAGCCCAAAGATCGATGTTAGCAGTATCAGACATCACACAGTACAAAATAAGATTTTGAGTTAGAAGTGGTTCACATTATAGCACAAGTTAAACAATAATCCTTTTTGGTAGCATGTTTTAATATCTACAGCATAATCAGTATGCAAACAGAATCATACAGGAGTATGGAAAGCCAAATCTTTAAAATAGAGCTTATTCTAGAAAATAAGCTGTTGGTCTTCATTAATTTGGGGGAAAATGGAAACTCTGTTGAAGACATCATGTTAATTGTGCTACTGTGGCTTTCCAAAAGTTAGCTTCTCAAAACATTAAAGTTGGCAAGACAATACCATTTCACTGACAGCCTTCAGATCCTTTAGCAAAGTGGTAATTGTGGATGAATGTTTAAGTTTATCTTGGTCTCAGCCATTCTTTATTAAAAACAAGGTGCAAATTTCTTGATATGTTCAGACTGTCCCAAGGAGATATACTTAACTTTAAAGTCCTCATTGGCAAAAAATACAAAGATCATAGGTGACTGAATAGAAAAATAAAAACACTAGTATACAATATTCATTACTATTTGAAAACCATCCCATGAATTCACATTTTGATTTTTTTTCATAATTCATTAGGAGGCCTTCTGCTGTGCATTATTACTTGCAATAAGTTACTTAAAGAAAAAAAAGTCAATGTATATTTGTATATCTTTGAACCTGAAAGTAAATTTTATTAAAATTTTCTAAAGATGTGAAGACGATCAGTGAAGAGGTTCTTTAAAATATTTTGGCATGCAATATTCCACCCCAAACCACAGAAATACCACTTACTTAATTATTATTCAATGCACATATTAAGTCAGGCTATTCACTATTAAAAGAAGGATCATTAAATAAGAAGATAAAAAGCCTACAAATAGAACACCTCTTGGTTAGTATTAATTGACTATAAACACAATTTCCTTTTCTTAGAAGTCTTGCTATGACTTATTAACACTGAATGTTCTCAGAGAGAATAAATTGTGCTGGAGCACTGAATCCTGGGAGTTAGAAGAACTAGGATCTATTCTTAACTCTGCTACTTAATAACTAATCATATGGCTTGGGGCAATTCAATCTCTCAGAGCTTGTTTTCGCAGCCACATAATGGGAATAGTGTTATACGCCCTATCCTCCCTCACAGGATTGTTTTAAAGATCAAATTCAATTTCTTTTTGAATATTGACCAAATGTCTGCCATGTGCAAGGTAGCTACATGGAACACAAAGATGAGCAAGACCCAAACTCTGCCCTCAAGGAGCTTACCATAAAAGCACATTATATGATGTAAATGATGGCATGCCATATAAATAGAAAATATTTTCATTACTGCCTAACAATACAAGTTTTAAAGCATTTGACACTTTGAAATTCAGAAAGCTAAAAATTGGCTTCTGTTTATTTAAATAGTTTCTAAACCACGGACAACAAACTAACTCAATACAACATTTAAAGCAGAGTCTGGCCAATTAGTTAAATAAATTAGAATTCCTACCTAACATAATCCAGAGTTTGAGTAAAGACATATCATATGTATGTTTGATATAAAAGGACCAATAACAAGAATATTTAGAAAAATAACTCATTGAAATATGGCATTTCGGTCTGAGTAGCAAGGAAAACTTTGGATCACATCATAGCAAAACTTCTAAGACTTAAATTTTTAAAAGGTAACATTTTAAAGAGTTATATGCCAAGTCAATTTTGTGTATGAGGTTCTCAGTCTATTATTTTTCAAACCACCTAAAAAAGTTTAACTGACAAAACAATAAGTGGTAATTGTAACAGATAAGCTGAATTCACTGGTGTAGTTTAAATCCAGTTTCCACTTAAGGTTGTAATCTTCAAGTGTTGCAAAGAAGATAACACTACAAAGACCAGGTTCCGATAACTATGTACTTTAGAGCACATTTTGTAAATAAGAAGTTATTAAATCAATTTTAAAGTAATGTGGCCACTTTTATTTTTCTTCTTTGAATATATTCTAGTTCTTTTCTCAAAAGGAAGAAATCTACTTGCTGATAGTATAGTCTAATAGTGATCAAGGCAGCCAAATTCTATGCATGTTAGACAAGTAAAACTTCAGAGTACCCCTTAGTCTTCTATCTTATCTTGGTGATAATTAAATGGCATGCACTGTTTTATGTTTTTGATGACATAATATAGGAAGAAAACAAGAAGCAGTTACTAGGGGTTAATGGAGCTTTCGAGGTATCCAAAAACAATAAAGTGGATGGAAGAACCAGTCTGTTATGGTTAAGAGCCTCCTGAAATGGAAGAAGTAGTTTTCCACTATCACATTTAAAACTAGAATAAGAGGCTAGATCATAAGCACAAGCCATACAACAGCCTTTGTGGTGCTGCTAGTAAAACAGACACTTAACTGAGCACTGGGGAACCCCTAAGTCAGGGTCCCAGCTACACCAGTAACTAACAGTATTACCTTGAGGAAGCTTCTTAACCTCTTTAGGCTTCATTTTCTCATACAAGCGTACTTCAAAAAGTTCATGGAAACATAAATTAAAAGATAATATGAACCTTTCCATGAACTTTTTGAAGTCACCTCCTACATGACAAAATCTCTATCCCTGACCAAACTTTAGGTAGGATCCTTTGTACCCTCTTCTTTACTAGTCCTTGTCCTTGGGCCTTGTTTTTGGCCTGCTAAGCCCAGATATGGCAAAAATCCTGCTAAATCAGTTTAGCGAAAGTCATTATGCCCTTGATATCTGATCAAGATCTTCATTCCCCACGCTTGATGTCTAAGTCCTTGGCCTGTCTTTAGCAAGAATCCTGTTAGGTCAGTTTAGCAAGAACCACCCTACCCTTGATATCTCCTCTTAGTAATTTTTCATCACTGGCCCCCTCACTCTGCTCCTTGGCTATAAATCCCCACTCATCTCTGTTGTATTTGGAGTTGGGCTCAGTCACTCTCCCCTGTTCCAATAGTCTTTCCTCCATCACAACAGTTTTGAATAAAATCTGTCTTGCCATCTTTAACTAGTGAATAATTTCTCTTTGACATATGTAAAACAGGTCCCTTCTAAATCTGACATTCTATGATTTAATGAAATAATGGGTTTGTGGAGGAGTAAGAAGCTAGGGAATCAATTCAGATAGAGATAGATGGCTTTATAAAAACAATCTTGAAAAATTATGAATTTTAAATTTATAAGAAAAAAGATCTTGTCATTCTCAATAGGCAGACCTCAGGAGTAAATTTTTCTACCTTTTAATTCCTCCTTTGAGATTTGAAAAGAACTATATATCTTAAATAATAAGAAATTCATTCAAATATTTGTGGCTTGTTTTACTCCTGATTATATGAACATCTTTCACCATGAATCAGCAATTTTCCATCGGGTAGCTCTTGTTAACTGTTTTTTTGGTGTATACTGTTACATGAATAAGATGAAAGTAAGATTAAGAGCCTTGTATTTTGTGCTGGTTGCATTATTTATTTATTTATCTTACTCTGTGCCTACTAGTTTTTTTTCACAGCAATAGAATTTAGAACTTTGTGAAAACTCAAAATGTGAAGATGGGATGGTTTGAAAAATTGCAAGAGGGACGGCAAGTCAAGAATTACATATTTGCAGGATCAGATAATACATATTACTGTTTAAAAACATAATGCCTTTTTGATGGATAGTTCAATTTCATTTGCATTAACATATGTAAAGCAGATAAGAAATACACTCTATTCCAAAAGAAAGGTAAAATATTATACAATGCTGCTTTGGGTACTATAAATTTTCAGCTAAAAATGACAGAAATATATGAATTTTTGAAATGTTAAATTAGTTTTCCTAATTAGGTAATCTGGAATCATTTTAATAGAAAAAACACTAAGCTCTACATGTTCCTGAAAATTTATAGAGAATAGGCCACCATGTAAGAATTGAATTGGCATATATACTCTTAAAATATTCAAACATTTGAAAACATTAGGTACAGGTGTATATACACATATACACACATACATATACACATATATAAATATATGTATATAATTATATAAGAAAAGTTTCAAACTTCATGCAGTTACTACTTTGGAGTTAAGGAGCTAACCTGTAGGACCTGGATAGGGATCAAAGTTCACCAAGGCCCAATGTCATCATTAACAAAAAGGAAAAATATCAAAACTGTTAGAAATATCAAGAAACTAAACTAAAACATTACACTAAATACTTACAAGTTAAAATTTAATTCAATAAAAGAATACTCTGCAAGTTCATATTCATGCATCTGTATATAAACCAAATTATTACCACTTAGCATCAACACTGAAATGAAAATAGCACATGACATATTTTGAAAAGCCAAAAATCATTTTTATTAATAATCATTACTATGAGCTCAGACTAAGAACAATCAATTCTAAGAGCAATTGAGTTTAAAACTCCATTTTAATTTTTAGTTTATGAACAAATTGAGAAGTGACAAATACTCATCAAGTGTGTGTTCTTCTTCTGACTACTTTTGTTACTGTTTCTTCAAAAACAGTAATTTTTAAAGCACCTTTGTGATTAATGGTTTTATGTTGACATATTTTAAAGTAATTAATGTTCACCAGTGAGCTCCATTACTAGTAAGAATGAATAACCACAGTGCTGATTAGACTATAAAAAGGATAATAGTTTGGTTCATTTGAATTACTGCATGCAAAACCAAGCAAGATACTTGCTTAAATTATTTACATTACATGCAAGAGAGTTAACATGGCTGAGGAGATTTTCACTGGGTTTTCTTCAATATACAATAGTAAACAAAGGTAAAACCTTATATAATACCTTATATAAACAGTCAAGTCAGATCAGATAAAATATGGTTTTGAAAATAATCCTCTGAATACAGTACATGATCCCATTCAATTAATGTTTTTAGAGCATATCTTATTAAAATTAATTCTAATCACTTTAGATTTTATTGTAATTTAAGTGAAATTTTTCATTTTTAAATGCATTTTTAAAATAAGTCAGAGACTTTCAAAGGATGAAAGGACAATTGCTTTGTTTCTTTAAGATTTCTTATATTTTCTTTAAATGAAGGTCAAGTTTTCAATTACTAGAAATATAAAAATTAAATATCGAGTATCAAAAATCTGTTGATACCTAACACCAGTGACTGGGCTCAGCGACATTAATCCAGGATGAAAACGAGCATTTCCAAATTAGTAAAATGAAATGACGTAGCACAGACACAAAATAAAAAGGTGAACAATGGATGCAAAATAGAGACTATGAGAGCAGTGAACACAAGACAAATGAGGTACAGACATGAGGCTGGTATGAAGAGATCACTAGTCAATTTGATCATGCTGTGATGTTGAAGATAAATTTGATTGCCTAGTTCCTAGGGAAGACAAATTTTTTTATTGTGCCTGGTGACATTTGTGGATCATATGACAGACCATAGCAACATTTCTGGTATGGACCACAAGCATCTATTGGGTGATCACTAAAATGATTTCTGTGATGACATGCTGAGAAGCTCACATTTAAAAGTGCAGATGGCATTTTGCTGCCAGGTTATCAGTGTAGCTTTACCTTTAATGACAAGACTAATAAAACCACTATTTCCTTTTTTCCTCCAAGTTGTTTTATTTTACTTCAAGTTTAAGTAAATGATGAAATGCATTACTGAAAAGAATTATTAGATGTCATGGAAATGGATGAAGCTAGGTATTAACCAAGCTATTTACTTGTAAGAAGTTTTTATTTTACAAATTCTAACGTCCTAAAGACTGAATAACCTGCCAGCAAAATAAAATAAATAGACTAATAGATAGACCATTCCCCTACCACTCATGGACATACCTGGTCTCCCAGGAGGACCTTGGGGCCCAGTGTTGCCTTTAGGGCCTTCCAGAGCTGGACCCGGAGAACCAGGAGGGCCTGGGGGACCCTGTACACCAGGGAAACCTTGGAAGCCTGGTTCACCCTTTGGACCTGGAAGGCCAGGGTTTCCTGGAATGCCAGGTAATCCTTCATCACCCTTTTGACCTATGAAAGTAAAGTGACATGAGAGAACACATTAAATGATACTGAGCTATAGGCTTGTGTATAAGGCTAAAGCCATTCACACTTAGAGCAACTAATGAAATTGACTAGGGTCATTTCTGTCTACTGCAAAATCCCAACCCACCCGAAAACCTATTCTTCTTATTAAATATATGAGGGTACTTCCAAAAGTTGGTGGAAAGATTTATATTATCCTTTAATACTATTTTCCCACAAACTTTTGAAAGTACTCTCATACATATCTGTTATCAGAAGTATTATTAGAATATGTACAAAAATGTAGAACATAGAACAATGATCACATGACCAGTAACTGTGAGAAAAAAAAGAGAATAAAAGAGTATAAAGAATCTTCATGAGTAGGTTTAAGATTGCTGAATAAAATTCCTAAACAAGTGTTTTGAGTCTAATTTTGAGACCAATGGCAGATATGAATCTTCAGTGGTTGCTGTGTGTATCAGAGGACTATTCTACCCAAGGTTTATACTTATAATCTAGACAAACTGTTCTTAACATTTTTTTCCCACACCACTAACACTCTTACGAGCAATATAATAGTGGCACATTAAAGCAACAATTTCATGTTGGGATCATGAGAAAAATATCAGAATTTCTAGGAAATGTGTGTTGTTTAAGAAAAGCCTCCATAGAATAGACAAAGGTCATTCCAAAACATAAAGGTACATGTCTATATATACATTCAGCCCTTCTATTAACTATTTTGTGCTTACAATGAGAGTAAGCCCAAAATAGAGAAGGCAGATGTGTGCGTGCATATATCCATGCAAATATGCAAAATGTATATTAAAATGGGGTTTTTGCTTTTTGGTTCTCTGAACAGTACCATGGTGGTTGGCAAGAACAAGTGACTTACAAAGAGAGGCAAAAAGGGAGCCAAAAAGAAAGTGGATGACCTATTTTCTAAGAAAAATTGGATACTGTGAAATTGCCTGCTAAAAACACTAGTCACCAGGACTCAAGGAATCAAACTTGCATCTGATGGCCTCAAGGGTCATGTGTTTGTAGTGAGCCTTGCTGATCTGCAGAATGATGAAGCTGCATTTAGGAAATTTAAGCTAATTACTGAAGATGTTCAGAGCAAAGTCTCTTGCACTAACTTCCATGGCATGGATCTTACTTGTGATAAAATATGTCCCATGGTCAAAAACTGGCAGACCATGACTGAAGCTCATGTTGATGTCAAGACTACCGAAGATTATTTGCTTCATCTTTTTCTGTGTTGGTTTTACTAAAAATCCATGACAACCACATACAGAATACCTCTTTCACTAAGCACCAACAGGTCCACCAAATCTGGAAGGAGATGATAGAAATCAGGACCCGAGGGGTGCAGAAAAATGACTTGAAAGAAGTGGTCAATAAATTGACTCTAGACAGCATTGGAAAGGATATAGAAAAGGCTTGCTAATCTATTTATCTTCTCCATGATGTTATTGTTAGAAAAGTAAAAATGCTGAAGAAGCCCAAATTTGAGTTGGGAAAATTCATGGAGCTTCATGGTGAAGGTAACGGTTCTAGAAGTTAATGGGGAAGAGACAAGTGCTAAAATTGAATGAGCTGATGGATATGAACTACCATTACAAGAATCTGTTTAAAATTCAGACTTTTAATAGCAACAAATAAAAAGTCCTCTTTGCAAAAGAAATGTAGTTTTCAAGATATGTTTTTATTATTGGTACATATTTCTACAGAGTCTCCTTATACTACCTTGATACTGCTTCCATGGGGAGAAAAGAGTGGGTTTTTTTCCGGCTAAACACGTTTCAAAAAATTTAGTGAAATCTATCTCTTCCTATAACTTTGCTATCTTCTTTATCATTTCCTTAGCATTTATTTATAAAGTTAATAAAGAGATATCTACACACAAATTTCCTTAAGCATGCATTTTTATATAGCACAATTCTTTATACTAAGTTGGTAAATAAGAAATGCTTTAAGGTATAACTAGCTTTGAGTTTTCTGAGTCTGTATGTGTACTTTATAACAGTAAATTTTAGGGAGAAAAAATAAATATATTGGCAAATATTTTCATTTTATGGATTGACTTAGCATATTTTATTAAGGTTTACCAGAAAGTCCTGGCAGTCCAGGGGGTCCTGGGATTCCAAAGCCTGGCTGACCTATCAAGGTATAAAATAAAAAATCTCAAATACATAGTAATACCTGAAACAATGACAAAATATTTTCAGATCACTGAGGTTTTTATTAAGTGCTACAATGTATATTATATGAAACATGTAGAAGATATAATTCTAAAACAGAACTACAATTCTAACATGAGAAAACTATACAAACATATATTCTATTCGGGATGAGTATAAGTATAGTGTAAGTATATCTTTGTATATACTTATACCATATGAAAATATATAAATGGAATATGCATTGCATAGAGAAACAGAAATTTGAAAAAGCTGGGTAACTTCTTGTCATGAAAAGTTGTACAAGAAAGGATTATGGAGTTTTTCACAAGAGTAAGCAACTTGATCAACAAACATTATCATCTCAGGGTGAAGAGAAAGAAGGTAACTAGGAAGGGAAAACTGTGGTAGCTTAGAAGGTAAGAAAGAAGATATAACCTCCTTGTGGGTAAAAAGGGTAAGTTAAAGTAGACAAGGATGAAATTAGAAAGTTAGGACAAATGAGAAAATACAGAACCTGGTTCACCCTTCTGTCCAGCTGGTCCAGGAATGCCATCTTGACCTGGTTTGCCTTTTTCACCTGGAGGCCCCAGTGGCCCAGGACGACCTCCACCACCTAAAGAATAGAGTACACCAGGTTCCACCCATATTGCCAACTCCCTTTTCATTCCATATATCACATTCTTTTCACACTAGCTTCAAATAGTTCTATCCAAAAGATACAAAATGCCTCTGAGACACTCCTTTAAATTATGAAATCTTATTAAGTTGAAGCATAAAAAAATGAAGGGGGATAATAATAAGAAACAGCCAAATCATTCACACATCCCAAACCTTTCAGTTTCTCATTTTAATATGGCTTTGGAATATCCAATAGAATAAGGTGTGAGGGGTAGGGGTGGGGCTGCATTATATGCCTCATATGGGGCCAAGAGAAGTGATTTATTTTAGAAGTCAATGAACAAACAAAACTGCTACAGCCTGCCATTCTAAAAATATCAGAGCTTCTATCTTCTATTATAGGATACTTGAATTAGCTCTCCCTGGAAAAAAAGTAAGCCTAGAAAATAAGGCCCCATAATGATAATTTTAAGTAATTCTTATTGAGTTGTTCACTTTGTACCTAACACACAGTGCTAAGTGAACAATCACCATGTTTTCTTGTCTTGAAAATGTTCACAGCTGAACATGATTTGACTTTCCCAAATAAAGTATGATTTGACTTTCCCCAATTGAAAATGATGAGCCTTAGTTTTACAGAACAGCAAATGCTTATTTTTCATGCTTACCTATAGGACCAGGTTCTCCTGGAAGGCCAGGGTTCCCAGGGGGACCATTAATACCTTTCGGTCCAGGAATACCTGGAGTTCCTAGAGTAAAGAGCTCAATTTAAAAATAAAAGAAAAACTGCACTGATTTGAGAGCTACAACTCAGACTTACAATTTAGCATAGAAACAGTGAAGAACAAAAAGGAACTCAAAAGATGCTGGTGTTTGCTGGATATTTTAAAGAAGAATTTAAATTTTAAATTTATATATCTAGAGGCTATCATTCAATTATTCAAGGACTCTGAAAGTAAACACTAGCAGACAAATTTGGGAGGGAAGTAAAAACTTGAAGAATGACCAGAAGAACAGTGCATTAGTTTTCTATTGCAGTGTAACAAATTACCCCAAATTCAATGACTTTAAACAATACCTGTTTATTATGTCACAGTTTCTATAGGTAACAGTCCAGGAAGAGCTGAGCTGGGCTCTCTGCTTAGTATCTCACAAGGCCAAAATTAAGGTGTTGGTCTGGCTAGGCTCTTCTCTGGGGGCTATGGGGAAAGATGCACTTCCTAGCTCATTCAGGTTGTTGGCCAATTTTAGCCTCTTGGGTTTGTAGGACTGAGGTCCCTGTTTCCTTGCTGGCTGGCTGCCAGAAACTATTCTCACATTCTGGGGGCTACTCATATTTCCATTTTGTGGGCTTTATGCATCTGAACAATTACATCTTCCCTTATGTAGACTCTCTGTCATGCTTTGAATCTCTCTGACTTCCTCTTCTACCACCAGTTGGAAAAAACTTTCCACTTTTAAAAAGCTCATTGATTAAATGAGGTTGACCCTGAATATCTCCACATCTTAAGATCAACTGATTTGGGAGTTTAATCATACCTGCAAAATCCTTCCACAGAAGTACCTAGATTAGTCTTTGATTGAATAGCCAGGGCCTGAAATCTTGGTGAGGGGATCTTAGAATTCTATTCACTATATAAATAACAAATAAAAGTACGATACAAACATTTTCTAATGAATGCCAGCTAGGAGAATTTGCTGCCAACAGACTTCACTACAAGAAATACTAAATAAAATTTTTCAAAGAAAATGAACACGGAAGGTCCACATGTTAAGAGAAAAGCCCACATGCCAGGTCTAAAACATATACCTACAATTAAGGACAATGAAAATAGCCCTGCTCTAAAGAAGGCTAAAACTCCATAACTGCAAGATCAAGTTGATCCTCAGGTAATTGAACTGCCTGCTAGAACAATATTTAACATTCTTCAAGAAATTTAACAGAATCCAGAATCTCTATGCCACACTATCCACAGCATTCAGTATAGAATAAAAAATACCAGATGTGAAGACACTGGAAAATGAGACTTTTAACAAAGGAAAAGAACTACCAATGGAAACAGACTCATGGATATCTGGAATGTTGAAATAAGCAGAAAAGATCCTTAAAATAGCTATAATATGTTTTAAAAATCTACAGGCAAAGATGGGTGAAAAATGGAAAATTTCTGGAGAAATATGGTAGCTATAAAAAGAACCAAAAGGAAATCAAAATTTTTGTGGAGGGGATTAACAGCATATTGAACCCACCAGAAAAAATGGATCAGTAAGCTTGAAGGTAGTGAATAAAAACCATCCAAATTAAAGCACAGAAAGAAAAAAGATGGAAAAAACACAGCTATAGCCTCAGTGAACTGTGAGACAATATCAAGTAATCTAATATGTATGTAATTGCATTCCCAAAAGGAGAGGGAAAATGTGGCAGAAGAAATATATGAAGAAATAATAGCTGGAATTTTCCAAAGTTATTAATAACTGACAACTCTACAGATCGAGGAATATCAGTGAATACAGGCAAAATAAATACAATCTTTACTAGTCACAACAATAAGAAATGACTCAAACAAAAGACAGAGAGAAAATCTTAAATGTATCCAGAGAAAAGACAGACATAATGTAAAGGAGAAAAACAATAGAAATAATTGCTGATTTGCTATCAGAAAAAAATGGAGACCTTAAAGACAGTAGAGATGTGCTGAAAAAACAAATATCAAAAATAGATTTCTATATTTGGTTAAAAATTTTTAAAAATGAAGGCAAAATAAAGGCATTTTTATATAAATTAAAAGTGAGAGGATTTGTCACCAGCAAAGTCACTTTAAAATAAATGATAGTGGAAATATGTCAAGCTTTAGGGAATAACACCAAATGGACGTTTGATGCACAGGATGGTAAAAGAATGAAAATATATAGATACATATAAAAATTTTTTTTTTCATATTACATTATTTAGAAGTCAACAGACTGCTTAAAGCAACAATAACAGCAGTTATAATATTTATTACCTATATAGAAGTAAAATATATGAACAAAATCACACAAAACAACACGATATATAAATAAAATTATACTGTTGTAAGGATTTTATGTTATATGTAAAATGGTTTAATTTTAATTTAATGCAGAGTGTGGTAAATTAAGAATGCATATTGAAATATATGGAGAGACATATTTTAAATATATAGACAGGTAAATATTTAAAAATCTGATATATCTATATTGGTATTGGACAAAGAAGACTCCAAAGAAAAGAGTATTATGAAAAATAAAGAGGGCCATTACATAATGATAAAAGGATCAACTCTTCAAGAAGATATAAGTTTCCTGAATTTATATACCACTAATAAGAAAGCTTCAAAATCCATACAGCAAAAAATTGACAGAAATAAATGGAGAAATAGAAACTCCACAATCATATTAGAAATTTTAACATCTACTTCTCGGTAATCAGTAGAAAAATTAGACAAAAAGTTGGTAGAGATACACAAGATTTTAACAACTCTATCAACCAGCTTGACATAATGGACATTTATAGAACAATAAACACAATTGCAGAATACAAATTATTTTTAAGTGTACAAGGAAAATACACTCAGACAGACCTTAAGTTGGGCCATATGATAAGTCTCAACAAATATTAATAGTTAAATTACACAAAATAAACATTCTGACTAGAACAGAATTAAACTAAAAATCAGTAACAGAAAGATATCTGGAAAGGCCCCATATATTTGTAAATTGAGTAACACAATTCTAAATAACCTATGGATAAGAACAGAAATCAACAGGAAAATTAGAAAAAATTTCAAACTGAATGATAAAGAAAGCACAAAAGAACAAAGTTTGTGGGATTCAGCTTACACACTTCTTAGATGAAAATTTAGTTTCAAATACATCTATTAGAAAAGACAAAGCTGAAAAACCTATGATCTAAGCTTCCAACTAAGGAATCTAGGAAAAAAACAGCAAAATTAAATTTGTAGAGAGTAGAAGGTAGGAAATAATGATATAAGCAGAAACTAATGAAATAGAAAGGAAACAGTAGAAAAGATCAAATACAAAAGTTAACATTTAACGATTAATAAAATTTAATGAACACCTAACAAGACTGATTAAAAGAAAGAGAGAAACCAAAAATTACTTATATCAAAATATTTTTTAAATGAAGACTTCATACATATTCTGCAGAAATTAAAAGGACAAACCAAGGACATTATTAACAACTTTTGCCAATAAATTTAACAACTTAGACGAAATGGTCAAATTCCTTGAAAAACACAATTTATCAAAACTGACATAAATAATAATCTGAATAATGGTGTAACTATTAAAGGCTTTGAATATGAGATTAAAAATATTTTCACAAAGAAACTACAGGCCCAGATTTCTAAACTGATGAATTCTGATAAAACATTTAAAGAAAAAATGGAGAAAGAGAGAATACTTCTCAACTCATGAGGACAGAAAATCTCTATACCAAAATGTTGACAAGGATACTATGAGAAAGAAAAATCATAGGCCAATACTTCTCATAGCCATAGACAATTTAAAAAAATAGCAAATCAAGTTCAGCAATACTTAAAAACAATATATATGTGGCACGATCATCTTAGAGTTTACCCCCAAAATGCAAGGTTGTTTTGACATAAACTATAAATGAGTGTAATTCACTATATCAACTGAGTAAAGGAGGAAAAATACCCATAATAATCTCTGTAGATTCAGAAAAATGATTTAATAAAACTCACAACAATTCTTGATAAAAACTCTCAGTAAATTAGGAATAGAAAGGAATTTCCTTAATTTAATAAAACATATATACCAAAACCCTGGCACTAACATATTTAATGGTAAAACAGCAAATACTTTTCCTCTGAATTTAGGGAAAAAGATAAGTATGTTGACTATAACTGCATCTATTAAACACTGTACTGGAGGTCCTAGCTAGTGTAAGTAGGCAAGAAAAGGAAATTAAAGGTATGAAGAACTGAAAAGAAGTTTTTACTTCTTCAGTTCAGGTTTTACTCGGATGTTTTTACATCCGAGGCAATATGTCAGTTTACAAAACAAAACAAAAAATCTACACACAAACTCTTAGAATTAATAAGTGAAATCAACAAGTTTCCTATATACAAGTTCAATATTCCAAAATCAATTATTTCTATATACTTCCAACAAACAATTGAAAAACAAACTTGGAAAAGCAATACCATTTAAAATACCATCAGAAAGCATCAAATTTCCAGGGATAAATTTAACAAAAGATGTTCAAGATTTATAAAATGAAAAGTGTAACATACTGTTGAACTAAATTAAATAAATAAATGGAAATAACATATCCACTGGATTGAAAGATTTTAAAATTTGTTAAAATATCAGTTCTTCTCAAAATTATCTAGAGATTTATTATAATCTTAATCAAAATCCCTGCAGGTATTGTCTAATGGAAATTGATAAACTGATTTCCAAATTCATGCAAATGGCCAACACAAGTTTTAAAAAACTGGAAGAAAGTTGTAGTACTTACACTACCATATTTCAAGATTTAATATAAATTTATAGTAATTCAAACAGTGGTGTGTTAAAGCAAGAAAAGAAAATACAACAATGGAACAGAATAGAGAGTACAGAAATACACCCCCATATATATGGTCAATTGATTTTCTGGCAAAGGAGTGACTGCAATTTTGGCAGGGCACTCCTATTCTTTTAAAAATAATAGAGTGGAGGAATTGGATAACTGTGTGTAAAAACAATAAACCTTGACCCCTCTCTCGCAGTATAAGAATATTTTTATTTGAGAGAGATCATAAACCTATAAAAGTTTAAATATTAAACGTTATAAAAAAATTAGGAGAATATTCCCATAACTTTGAGCAAGCAAACATTTATTGAGTAGGATACAAAAACAATAACCATGAAGGAAAAGATTGATACACTGAACTTTATTAAAATTAACAACTTTTTTTGTTACACAACAGCATTAAGTAAAAGGCAAATCTGAGAGAACGTATTTACAATACATGTATCTGACAAAGGACTCATATTCAAAATATATAAAGAACTGCTCTGAATCAATAAGAGAAAAGGCAAACAACCCAATAAAAAATGAACAAAAAACCTTAGGAAGGTACTTCAAACAGATGCTGCCCAAATGGTTAATAAGTATATAAAAAGATGTTTAATACTGTTATTCATTAGGAAAATGTAAATTAAAACCTAAATAAAATACTCCTACATAACAGAATAGATAAAATTAAAAAGACTGTTGATTCCCAGTGATGGTGAGGATATGGGCAACTTTACATTCCATACATTGCTGGTGGGACCTTAAATTATAAAACCACTTTGGAAAACTGGCACCATTTACTAAGTTCAATGTATACCCACCCTATGACTTAGTAATTCCACTACTAAGTTTTTGTTTAAGAGAAATATAATCATAAGTCCACCAAAAGATATGTAAAAGACTGTTAATAGCATCTTTTTTCATAATAGTTCCAAACTGCAAAAACTCAAAAGCCCATCAACAGGAGAATGGGTAATTGACTGTGGTACATTTCTTCAATGGAATATTACACAGCAATGATGAAGAACAAACTACTGATATATGCAACAAGATAGATGAATCTTACAGACATAAAGATGAGTGAAAGAAGTTAGACACGAGGATACATACTGTATGATTCCACTTAAATGGATTTCAATAACAGGTAAAACTAGCTGATGATAATAGAAGTCATAGTCATAGTAGTGGTTACCTTGGGGTGGGGGATGAGGGAGTATTCCCTGTGAAGGAGCAGGGTAAATTTTATGGGATAAGGGAATTATTTTATATCCTGATATGTATGATGGATTCACAGATATATACATAGATAAAAACTCATCTATAGTCTTGTACACTTAAGTGTACTTTACCATATGTACATTACATTTCAAAAAAAAGGTTAAGAAAAAGATAACCAAAGACCCACTCATCCAGGCCACTGTACAATTAAAAAAACAAAAAACAAAAAAATACAAGCAAGAACAAGCAGGTACTATAATAATCTAGTTCAGACTACCTATTTGACTAAACTGCTAAATCCCTTTGCTTGAATGATTCAGTCCTTGCCATTTGTATGAACTGTATATTGTTTTACCAACAGTCACCAGCTGTGTGCCCGCATACAACTTTCTTAGAAAATCAGCAGCAGGCTAGGGCTTGGCAGTGTATATTATCACCTACAAAAATTGTAAGGCCTCTTAATTGATTTGCAGCTAGCAAAGATTTAAAAATGCTCTACCAATCAGACTCTCTACCCACAGGGATATTGCCCTGCTGAGTTCGTAATGCTCATTCTCATTTTATACGGAAAGAAATTTGAGGGGAAAAAAGGTAAAAAGCTAGTTTGAGATTATGTTGCTAGTTAGTATCCAATTGGGAAATAGAATGCAAGGCTGCCAAATAAGAAATTATTCTGTGATACTGGTTAGAGTAAACAAGGAAGGAAAGAGGAAGCGTTTAAGAAAAGGAATGTTACCTGGGAATCCAGGAAGGCCTGGTTGTCCTTTTGTTCCAGGGGTCCCTGGTAAACCAGGCAAACCAGTATCTCCCACAGAACCTTTGATACCAGGGTTCCCTGGGTATCCAGGAAGACCAGGTTCACCCTGAAAACATGAATAAAAAGATAAAACTGAAGTCTCTACATGACTTAGATTGTATAACAACACATTATTTATAGACCCTTTACTATACATCAGGCACTCTCCTAAGTGCCTTACACAAATTGCTTCATTTAATCACCACAATAGCCCTGTGAGTTAGGCTTTATGATCTCCATTTATAAATGAGAAAACTGAATCTTAGAGAAGTCAAGTGCTGAAGATCTTTATTAAGTGGCAGAATTGGGATTTGAACCAAAGTCTATCAGACTCCGAAGTTCATGCTATTCCCACGGTATGTAGATGCATCATTCTCATTAATCCTTAACATCCCTATTAGAAAGATACTATTATTATCCCCATGTTATAGTGATGCAGCTAGTAAGTGGTGGAATCTAGATTTGGATCCAAACAAATGACTTCAGAACCTGTGACTGTCATCCCTAGCAAGCTACAATGTAATTCATTGCTTATGATAAGCTTATCAACCAACAGCTACAGTAGTTTCTACTGCAAAAGGTAAATTTCATCTTAACATGAGGAAGTCTATTAATACTTCAGTGAAAACCTAAAATCCCACTTCTTCCATTGAGCCTTCTCAGACAAAGAGAGCTTACTCTAAGAGCTTAGGGTAGGATCTTATTCTGTCATATCAATAACAGTTTAGCATGTGCAAGTCTTATCTTTTTGATTATATTGAAAGTTTCATTGGGGGGTCAGAGACAATTCACATATAACCGTTTTTGCTCAGTAAACATTTGCATCATGTTTTCTTCTACTAGAGCCTTAGAAGAATTCATACTCACTTTCACAATCAAAACTAGTTTTCCTGAGTAACAATAAATACATTCACCACAACTCTACCACAGTGCTCACTGCCCTGCTTATAAGATCATGACCTCTCCAACAAAGTGCTAATGTTCAACATCACCTACTGAATGCTTCCTTCCTCACTTAGTGCTTACACCTGTCTAGGTGAAAAAGATATTTTATCTATAACTTGTGTGTTTTCTGCATTACAGTAATACCTTTTTAAACTAATGCTTTTTCTACTTAAATCCTACTTTTAAAACAAGAATCTACGACTGAGAATATATGCATTTTCATGAATCCTTATAAATCAAACATCTAGCTCATCTAGTTCATAATAGGTATACGATTAAATTTTGGATTGAATTGGTTCCATCTTAGATATTTACACAGAAAAGCTTTGAATGAACTATCATGATTCTTCCTGCTATTCATGAACAAATTAAATTTATATACCAAAATTTAAAGAAATAAGAAGAAAATTCTAATATTCTGCTAGTGGTATACCTGAAAGGCAGGAGTCAAACTCCTGATTATTTATGATACTATAGTCCAAGTATGTTAAATTCTACAAATATGGTAGTCCCTTCTTATCTGCAGTTTACTTTCTGTGGTTTCAGTTACCTGTGGTAGGTCAACCACAGTCCAAAAATACATATTCAATGGAAAATTCCAGAAATAATTCATCATCTTTAAATTGTAAGGTGTTCTGAGTAGCATGGTGCAATCTCATGCTGTCCTGCTCTATCCTGCCAAGGAGATGAATCATCCCCCTTTGTCCAGACTATCCATGCTATAATGCTACTGTCCTGGAAGTCAGTAGACACCTCAGTTATCAGACCAAAAAAACATAGTATTTATAGGGTTCAATACTATCCACAGTTTTAGGCATACACTAGGGGTCTTGGAACATATACCCTGAGGATAAGGGGGATTACTGTGACCCCAATCTCTAAGTTCAGCCAGCACTTGTCCCCAAATACAGTTCCTCTAATCATCCTTAAGGCCCTGCTCCTTCAAAACAAGTAAATTTTTAAAAGTAAGTAAATATTCTATTAGAGCTTCTCAAAAGGACTAGAATTTGCTAGCTTAAGCTTTATCTAACCTTCTATTATTCATACGCTTGCAGAAAAAACAATGAGTTTTAAAAAAGAAGAGTTAAAGAAGAAAGTGCTCAGAAAATCAAGAAATTAGCCAGGAATCTTATAAATCATTCTGATAAAGGAAAATTCAAGTCTATTTGCACTTCTAGCAAAAGCAAAAGCTAGAAGTGACCTGACTATACTTAAGCTGCAAATATCGACATTTGTTCTAATGTCAAACTTTGATATAATTCTGAAAATGGAATATATCATCCCTAATGAGTCAAATTTACCACTGTGAAACTATCTAACAAATACAGTGACACTGGAAGACTAGAGTGTTGTTCAACAAGCTTGAAACTAGAACTGCTTTCAAGGTCACTGATTTGTATCACATGCAGTCCATGTAGAAAAAGGAGTCAATTTGACATCTTCTTTGTTGTTAAAATTCAAATTGGTAATCTAAGAGTATTTGGAACGTGGTCAATCTCTAATACACCTTAGTAATAACATCTTCTCTTACATTCTCTGTGCTATAACCTAAGACCCAGAATAAAATTACAGGGTTGCCCCACTTTACAGAATAAAGACCGATAACAATCCTGAAAAAGCATTTGACAAAATTCAGCATTCATTCATGATAAAGACTCTCTATATATTAGGTACAGAAGGAAAGTATCTCAACACAATTAAAGCCATATATGACAAGCCCACTGCCAATATCATCCTGAATGGGGAGAAGCTGAAAGCTTTTCCCTTAAGAACAGGAACTAGACAACAATGTCTACTCTCACCACTCCTATTCAACATAGTATTGGAAGTACTAGCCAGAGCAATCGGAGAAGAGAAGGAAATAAAGGGTATCCAGATTGGAAAAGATGAAGTTAAACTGTCCCTGTATGCAGATGATATGATCCCATGTACAGAACAGCCTAAACACTCTAAAAACACCTCTTAGAGTTGATAAATGATTTCAGCAAAGTTGCAGGATGCAAAATCAACATGCAAATATCAGTAGCATTTTTATACTCCAACAATGAACTAGCAGAAAAAGAAATCAAGAAAGTTAGCCCATCAAAAGAACAGAATACCTAGGAATGAAGTTAACCAAAGATGTGAAAAATCTCTATGACAAAAACTACAAATCCCTGTTGAGAGAAATTAAAGAGGACACAAGAAGATGTAAAGACATCCCATACTCTTGGATCAGAATTAACATTGTGAAAATATCCATACTACCCAAAGTGGTCTATAGATTCGATACAATCCCCATCAAAATTCCAATGACATTCATGTCAGAAATGGAAAAAAAAAACAATTCAAACATTCATATGGAATAACAAAAGACCAATAATAGCCAAAGCAATCCTGAGAAAAATAAATAAATAAACAAAGCTGGAGGCATAACATTACCTGACTTTATTCTACAAAGCTACAGTAACCAAAACAGCATGATACTGGCATAAAAACAGACATATGGACCAATGGAAGAGAATAAAGAACCCAGAAATCAACCCACATGCCTACTGCCATCTGGCCTTTGACAAAGACACCTAGAACACACACTGGAGAAGAGACTGCCTCTTCTGTAAATGGTGCTAGGAAAACTGGATATCCATATGTAGAAGAATGAAACTAGACTCATACTTCTTACCTTATATCAAAATCAACTCAATACGCATTAAAGAATTAAATATACATCCTGAAATAATAAAACTCCTAAAATACAACATAGGGAAACACTTCAGGAAGTAGGATTGGGCATAGACTTTATGAATATGACCCCAAAAGCACAGGCAACCAAAGGAAAAATAAACGAATGGGATTATATCAAACTAAAAAGCTTCTGCACAGCAAAAGAAACAATTAACATAGTAAAAAGTCAACCAACAAAGTGGAAGAAAATATTTGCAAAATATACATCTGACAAAGGATTAATACCCAGACTATACAAGGAACACAAATAGCTTAACAGCAAAAAACAAAACAACAACAACAAGAAACAGAATTGAAAAATGGGCAAAGGTGCTGAATAGGCATTTCTCAAAGGAAGGCATACAAATGGCCAACAGACATATGAAAAAATGCTCAGCATCACTCAGCATCAGGGAAATGCAAATCAAAATCACATTGAGAAATCATCTCACTCCAGTTAGGCTGGCTAATATCCAAATGACTGAGAATAATAAATGATGGAGAGGATACAGAGAATAATAAATGCTGGAGGGAACCCTCCTACACTATTGGTGGGACTTCAAAATGGTGCAATCTTTATGAAAATTGGTATGGAGGTTCCTTAAACAATTACAGATAGACCCACCATATGACCTAGCTATTCCACTGCTGGGTATATACCCAAAGGAATGGAAATCATCGTGTCAAAGGGACACCTGTACTCCCATGTTTACTGAAGTACTACTTACAATAGTCAAGAGTTGGAACCAACTTAAATGCCCATCATTGGATGAGTGGATAAGTAAAATGTGGTATATCTACACAATGGAATACCACTATGCTGTAAAAAAGAATGAAATACTACCATTGGCAGCAATATGGATGGACTTAGAGAAAATTATATTAAGTGAAGTAAGCCAGGCACAGAAAAAGAAATACCACATGTTCTCACTTATATGTGTGAGCTAATAAAAATCAATCAATAAATATACAAACAAATAAACGGGGGTGGGGGAAGACACAATCACAATAATTCCTTGAATGTGTTAAGATAAGTGAACAGATATGATGTTGATGGGGGAGGGAGAGAAGGAGGAATTGGTAAAGGACATGAAAATCAACTACATTGTATATTGATAAATTAAAAAGTAAAAAAAATGAAAAACAGTTGGCGAGATAGCTAATATTTTTTGTTCTTGCATTCCATTGTAAAATTGAAGAAGCATTGCCACTGGAAAAAAACTGAGACAACAAGTGGATTTGGTGATAAAGGGAAAAAAACATATCTGGCTCTATAGCAGAAGTATTATAACAGAAGTCCATTAGTTGAAAATTGCAATATCCCACATAACTGTTAATTTTTTTACAACCCTATCTGTATTCGGAGATTAAAAACACCATGAATAATGTCATAAATAGGTTCTACTTTAAACAAAGAAT